ACCTTCTCTTTTTCCTCAGCTACTATCACATTAAATCCTCAGTGTTACCGTTTCTCCTCAGTGGAAACAAAAGCCAGTAGCTATTTAGTAAACCACCTTCATTAGTTATTCATTTGCCTCCTAAGTATAAGTACCTAGAGGAACACTTTGTTCTTTCTACTTTGTCTGGTTATCTATAACATAAGAATATACCTTGTGTCCCAATTCCTCCTTGAGACAGAATCTTATTTATTTTGGTAGCTAGAAGGCTCTCATCCTTCTAATGTCTCTGTAAAACTACTCCCAAGGGAAAAAATAAATAAAAAACTACTCCCAAGGGGAAGGAGGTTCAAAATTGTCTCAAGAGAAAATAATGTTTTTTTTCCTTTCATTCTTGTAAATTAATAAAGGAAGGTAAAATATGTGTCTAACTCTTAAAAGTTCTATAAAGAAATGAACGACTAAGAAAAAAAGTTGTTTTTAAAACAAAAAAGCATTATATTTCAAGTGCAACCAAAATATGATACTGTATTTAGTATTTAATCATATGTTAAGTCCACAGAAAGAAATTCATGGTTAAGATCACTGACTACTGCAATATGCTATTGAGAAATTCTCCTGCAAATCCTCGGGAGGTCTTTAAAAAAGAAAAAGGACAGAATCATCTAAAGCGGTTGGTTTTAATAAATTTCTAAAAAAGACATAAAGGGACTGAATTACATAAACCCCTAAAGGTTCCTTCCAGCTCTAATTCTGTCAAAGCTTCCCTGAGACTAATTGCTGCCCCTTCACCTTATATGGAAACCCTGGTGGCATAGCAGTTAAGCGCTACAGCTGCCAACCAAAAGGTCAGTAGTTCGAATCCATCAGGTGCTCCTTGGAAACTCTATGGGGCAGTTCTACGCTGTCCTATATGAGTCGGAATTGACTCGACGGCAATAGGTTTGTATTTTTTACCTTATATAGGAAACCCTGGTGGCACAGTGGTTACAAGCTCAGCTGCTAATCAAAAAGTCGGCAGTTCAAATCCGCTAGGCGCTCCTTGGAAACCGTATGGGGCACTTCTACTCTGTCCTAAAGGATCGCTATGAGTCGGACTCAACTTAACAGCAACAGATTTGGTTTTTTTTTTTGTTTGTTTGTTTCTACCTTATATAAGCAGCCCTGGTGGCACACTGGGTAAGAGCTCGGCTGCTAACCAAAAGGATATCAGTTCAAATTCGCCAGCTGCCCAAGGTTGAGTAGGGATAGTGTTGATGTGTTATGAGGTTGTTAACCACTGTCATAGGGCAACATGTGTAGTAACTGTTTAATGAGAAACTATCTTGTTCTGTAAACCTTCATCTAAAGTGAGAACAGCAGCACAATTGGAAGAGCATAGTCGATGTCACTGAACTGTGCATGTAGAAATTTTTGAAATGGTGTATCTTTGGCTATGTATACTTTCACAAAAGAAAAGGTCGAGAAGGGAGAGGGTTGACATGTTGTGGGGTTGTTAACCAATGTCATAAAACAATATGTGTACTACTGTTTCATGAGAAACTACTTGTTCTGTAAACCTTCACCTGAAGTACAATTAAAAAAAAATTCACCAGCTGCTCCTTGGAAACCCTATGGGGCAGTTCTGTTCTGTCCTATAGGGTCGCTATGAGTCAGAATCAACTTGACAGCAACAGGTGTCGCAGTGGTTAAGAGCTTGGCTGCTAACCAAAACGGTCAACAGTTTGAATTCACCAGCCCACTCCTTGGAAATCATATACGGGGCAGTTCTACTCTGTCCTGTAGGGTCCCTATGAGTTGGAATTGACTCGATGGCAACAGGAAGAGTCATTGTTAAACAGTAATGTATGATTGTTCAGGCTCCCTCTGTATCACAGGATCTATTTAATCAAATGCAAATCTAATGGAATTGCTCTTTTAGCATATACATTCACCCCTTCAGACACAGAAGCATGGACTCTTGAGAGTGTGAAGGAATCTTAGAATTTTTCTAGTCTAATGGCTCTCCTGTTCATTAGAAGACAAATGTTGGGATATATGAGGAAATGAACTTATGTCTTGTTTTTAAAACCACGTTACAATCTAAATTTTTTCTTAGTAAAACAATGACAAAGCTGTGTACCTAACACCTTATATACATTCTTTAAGGCTTAACTGGCAACACTTCCCCCAGAAAGAGCGGGAAATAGGTAGAGGTTGGAGCTCTAACATATTACTTCAATTAAAACAAAAAAAAAACTTTTAAAAATATTTTTAAAGGACATTATGGCTCCCGTGAAGTTACCAGGAACTGTTCTTTTGCTTAAGAAAAAGGAGGAAAAAAGTATTTTCACAGACAATATCCCCCTATATTGGTGTACAGAACTACAAATCTAAAGGCTTTGTTTAAAACAAGATTTATAAGAAATAGTTTTCTAGAAGGGATATTGCAGACCTAAACATTCCTTAGGGCATTCCACTTGATCATTCTTCCAAATTCCACCAACGTGTTTTGAGTAGAATTTTTCACTAAAATATGTTGGAAAAAGTCAGCCAGATGTTACAGCCATACAAAATTTTAAATTTCATTTTAGTCACCTGATATTTCTTCATTTTATTAGCTGACAACCTCTGAAGAAACAGCATGCCTACAAATGCTAAATTGTTATGGATTATGAGAGCAAGGAACTTGATTTACTGCTAAATCAGAACATAACTTCTAGGGATTGAAAAGAACACTTACACAGAAAGCATCCCTAAAATGTAAACACCTTTTACCTCATACACCATGGACTGCCAGAAGAACAAACAAATCTGTCTTGGAAGAAGCACAGCCAGAGTGCTCCTCAGAAGCAAGGATGGTGAGATGAAACATACTTTGGACATGTTACCAGGAGGGATCAGTCCCTGGAGACATCACGCTTGGTAAAGTAGAGGGTCATCGAAAAAGAGGAAGACCCTCAAACGAGATGGACTGACAGTGGCTGTAACAACGGGCTCAAACTTAGCAACAGTTATGAGAATGGCACAGGACCGGGCAGTTTCGTTCTGTTGTACATAGTCATTATTAGTCGTAAGGGACTCGACCGCACCTAACACACACATATATACACCTCTCAGTCATCTGCAATCTACTTTCTAACTCATATCCATTAAATTTATGTTACATTTTATCCCACAACAATTCTGTCTAATTAGTCACTTACGTTGCTAGGAAAACAGAAAAATTATTTCACCCTTTATAATGAGTCGATTCTTATCACTTTCTCTCTCACAGTTCTTTTGTTTTTTTTTAAGGAAAACAAATTTTTGAGTGTGTGCATTATTTTACCTTACATCTTACAGCCTCAGGGGAGGAAAAGGCTCTTTTATGTATTCTTCCCCCAACTCTCATAATCTCAGTATTTCAATATGACCTGGAGAAATGCTTTACTTACTGTTTCACACTAAACAGTTAACAGGTCTACCCATTACACATTCTGATTGCGGGAGAGTGTTAGATATTTATGTTAAAGCCAAATTAAGATCACTATCCTATCAAAAACTGCAACTGTCACAACTCCTGCTGAGGGGAACAGACTACTTTTTTTGTTTTCCTTAACATCCGAACAAGACTTATGAGTCAATTGTAAATTATCGCAACTCTGTTTTTGCATCTTTATAACTAGCCCTTCTTCAAAAACATCTTTCAGCAGAATACCTGTCAGCCCAGAGAATCAGAAGGTTGATATATTATTGTCTTAAATTCAGAACTTTTCAAAATATTTTAGAACTGCTTGGTTGGTGATTCAGCCTTGGTTAATTAGTACAGACTCATCACAAGTCACCACCAGTTAAACAATCCCCTTGTGTGATAGCACTCTTGCTTAAAGGGACCACAACTCAACACCGGCCTCTCCTGCACCCGGGATGGGGTCCCACCACAGGCAGAGTAAGAACATAATGCTTTTGAGGCACCAGACAGGGCTGCACTGTCAGATCTATGGTACAACGTTCTGCATGTGCAGAGGGCCCAGAAAGTGGTAAGAAGATACTGCATGTGTTTTCTCTTCGTGTTGTTGTTAGGTGCCGTCCAGTCATTCCCGAATCATAGTGACCCCATGTGACAGAGTAGAACTGCCTCCATAGGCTTTTCTAGGCTGTAATCTTTATGGGAACAGATCGTCAGGTCTTCCTCCCGAGGAGTCACTGGGTGGGTATGAACCCCAACCTTTCGGTTAGCAGCAGGGCTTTTAACCATTGCACCACCAGGGCTTTCTTCTTCATAACCAAAACTCACTGCCGTCAATTCTGACTCATAGTGACCCTATAGGACAGAGTAGAACTGCCCCCATAGGGTGCCCAAGGCTGTAAATTTTTACGTTATCAGACTGCCACATCTTTCTCCCTCAGAGCGGCTGGAGGGTTCCAATCGCCAACCTTTTGGTTAGCAGCCGAGCGCTTTAACCACTGCGCCACTAGGGCTCCTTTTCCTCCTCACAGCACCTAACTTTCTTTGCCTCTTAAGGACTCCAAGGGTGGTTTTCCGTGGATGGCTTCAGGACTGAGAGGAAGCAACTACCTCGAGGGTTTGAGGAGGGAGCTGGAGGAGCAAGAACCAAGAGCCCTTGAAGGGATCCTAATGGGTCCGAGGGGGTCACTCACTGCCTCCCCTGGGGGCGGCTCACACCTTTAGCCGGATCAGGTAAGGGAAGGTACCCGGGGCTCCGAGCAGAGCCCAAGCCTCCGGTGGGGAGCAGAGGAAGACCGTCAAGCATGGAAAGAGAGGGAGCCTCTGCACCGCCCTTGAGCCTCCCGGCTCGGGCCAGGCCGGGTCAGCGCCAGGACACCGCCGCCAGCACACCTGAGCCGCACCCGGCGCCCGCCCCCGCAGGCGGCCAACGCGACCTTGCCCCTCCCGGCTGCCCCCTCGGCCGGCTCTGCACGGTCGGCCAGCTCCGCACGGTCGCCTCGGCTCCTCTAGGGCGCCAGCTCGCTAGGTCCCCGCCTGCTTCCCCAGCCTGGCCCGCCCGGCTGCGCCCGCCCGCCCGGCCCCAACGCACCTGGCCAGCGGCGGCGGCGGCGGCAGCTGCGGTGCTCCTCACATACCCGTTCGGCACTTCCCCGTTCGCAAAGCAGCCGTTCGCCCGCGTCGGGCGACGGCAACAGCAGCCTCCGGGCCCCGGACGCATCGTCCCAGAAGCGCCAGGCACACGGCAGGCTTCGTAGGCGGTGGCAGCAGTGGCAGCAGGCGCGGCTCCAACCCGGCTCCGCACCCCACCCACCTCCCCGAAACCGGAAATAGATGCAGCGCAGCGGCCAATTCCTGGCCGGGCCGTCACAGCGGGGCGGGGCCCACTCCCTCGAAGGCCGCTGCTCGCTCAAGGCCCCGCCAAGAAGGCGGGAGACGGGGCGGAGACGGTGCAAGGGGGGGACGTAGGTCTAAGAGGTGCCAACCAATCTGTAGGAGGAGGAGGCGTACCCTATGTTGCCGTTTGACCAATCACCGGCGAGAGTAAGGAGCCTCGCCGGGGTAGAGGGGGCTTCTCCAGAGGGACTGTGAACCTGGCACCTGATTGGAGGCCCAAACCGGGTCGTGGGTAGGGCTTGGCTGCTTAGTGGTCTAGACTTAGGAGGAGGCGGGGTCCAAGAAGAAGTGGCCAATTAGAGTGTGAGGAGAGAAAGAGGGCTGAGCCTAAGTCTCTCGAGCGGGTTTCCTAGTTCTCCTGTGTTGGTGGTGCCCTATCTGCCCTTGCCTCCAGCGAAGAGGGTTTGAATCTCAGCTCAAGACTGGCAGCTCCTTTATTTAATTAACTAATTCCTCTGGGAGTGTTTATAGAATAGCCTTTTTGACATTTATTCTCTTCTTATCATTCTTCAGTACGTACCACACATTCCTTAGATACGGTAACACGTTTCTTAAGTAATAATACAGATGTCCCTTTGCCCTTTACATTCTCTCTGTCAGGGTTTTCTGTACCCGCTTTTTTAACGCCAGGAAACCTGGTCTATTTCCAACTCCGCCAATAACTGGAAGCTAAACTTTGTGAGTATTTAACCGCTTTGGGAGCCAGTTTCTTCACCTGTAAAATGGAATTAATGCTTCCTGCTTCATAGAGTCATTGCAAGACTTATATTAATGATGTGTTGTGCACGATTAACCCATTACCGTCAGGTCGATTCCAACTCATAGTGACCCTACGGGACAGGGTGGAACTGTCCCATAGGGTTTCCAAGGAGTACCTGGTAGATTTGAACTGCTGACCTTTTGGTTAGTAGCCAAACTCTTAACCATTACGCTACCAGGGTTTCCCTGTGCACTATTAGGAGCCCTATAAATACTACTTCGCCTCCCCTTTAGTCCAATCTTCTCATAGGGGTTAGAAAGAAAGAAAACGGATCCACATTACAGCAAGATACTTTCCAACCAAAAAACCCTTTGCGGTCGAGTCCATTCGATTCGAACTCATAGCGACGCTATAGGACAGAGTAGAACTGCCCCATAGAGTTTCCAAGGGGCGACTCGTGGATTCAAACTGCCGACTTTTGCTTAGCAACGTAGCTCTTAACCACTGCGCCGCCAGGGCTCCGAGAGACTTTCTGTTACCCATAAAAAACTTGGTGTCATAGTCAAGATATGGACTCTGGAGTCAGCTGGTCTGGGTTTGAATCCTGGCTGCACCATTTACTAGCTGAGTGACCTCTAAGTGTCTTCATCTATTAAATGGAGATAATAATAGTTGTTGTGAAGATTAAATGAGTTAATACGTGTAGAGTATTTTGTACAGGATCTAGCAATTAGTAAGCATTCATTAGGTGTTGGTTATTAGTAATTGTTGACTGTACCTATGACAACCCCCTCATTCTTTTTACCTGAGGAGCTTCAGAAAGAGGGTTGACAAGTTATCTGTTTTAAACAATTTAGGAGTAGAACAAACTAACAGCATGGGGCAAAGCAGATATCCTTTTCAATTGACAAACACTATGATTCCAAAGTGTGCATAAGTCTGCCATGGGTGTATGAAGATTAAAAAGAATCGTGTGGTTTCAGCCTCATGGAACTTACATTCTAGTGAGAGACAAGATGTACCAAAAAACAGTCTTCATTAAGTTGACTCTGACTCATGGCAACCCCATGTGTGTCAGAGTAAAACTGTGCTCCATAGGGTTTTCAAAGGCTGATTTTTCGGAAGCAGATCTCCAAGGTCTTTCTTCTGAGGTACCTCTGGGTGGACTCGAACTTCTAACCTTTTCATTACCAGCCAAGCCCCTTAAACGTTTACACCACCAGGTGCTAGTGAGAGAGAGGATGTACACATATAAAGTAAACAATAAAACGCCAACTGAAGGTTGGAGAAATTAGGTGAGAGGAGTTCTGATAAAGGAGACTGGATGGCAGTGGGAAATCTAGATTTTTCTATCTAGGATAATTTCAGGGCAGGAATCTGGTTGAAAGCAGGACTAAGGGACTGATCTTGAAGCCTAGATAGTGGGCTAAATGAATTTGGAGAAGGCTTGGGAGATATGGGATGGGCTTGATCTTGAAGGCTGAGCAGGATTTGGAGAGCTGAGAAGGAAGGGGAGGATTTTATGAGTGGGAGGGACCTTCAGAAACTAAGGTGCAGAGACTGGAATGAGCAAAGCCTAAACAGTAAAAGAGTCTGGCTACATTAGAGGAATCCTGTTAGCCAGTCCCTCCCTTCTGAGGGTGGGGCACCAAGTTCTTGTCTTGTTCTGCCACTTACTCACCATGTGTGGTCTTGTACAAGTCACGCAATATCTCAACCTTGGCTTCCTCACCCCTCTTACAAAGTTAATACCTCTGCTACTTACTTTGCAAGGTTACTGTGAGCATCAATAATATAATACACAAAAGATCTGATTACCTCACATACCATTGCTAAATCACAAAGATGATGCCTCAGCGGAGGGCTGTGGAGACCATGGTCTCGGGCAACATCTAGCTCAAGTGGCATGACACAGCTTATAAAGACAATGCTCTACATTCTACCTTGGTGACTAGTGTCTGGGGTCTTAAAAGCCTGTGAGCGGCCATCTAAGATACTCCACTGGTCTCATCCCTTCGGGAGCAAGGGAGAATGAAAAGAACAGGATACAAGGAAAAGATTAGTCCAAAGGACTAACTGTCCACAGCTACCAAGGCCTCCACCAGACTGAGTCCAGTACAGCTAGATGGTGCTTGGCTACCACCACTGACTGCTCTGACCAGGATCACAACAGAGGGTTCTGGACAGAGCTGGAGAAGGATGTAGGGCATAAGTCTAACTCACAAAAAAAAGATCAGATTTACTGGCCTAAAGGAGACTGGAGAAACCTTGAGAGTATGGCCCCCAGACACCCTTTTAGCTTAGTGGTGAAGTTACCTCCGCGGTTCACAGTTCAGCCTGGGAGTGGACAGCCCCGTAAAACCAAATGAGACTAACGAGGTACAGGAGTCCAGTCACAAGGGCCAGAAGGCAGAAGGGGACAAGGAAGCTGGTGATAGGGAACCCAAGATTGAGTAAGGATATTGTTGATGTGTTGTGAGAGTGTTAACCATTGTCATAGGGCAACATTTGTAGTAACTGTTAAATGAGAAACTGTTTTGTTCTGTAAGCCTTCATCTTAAGTGAGAATAACAGCACAATTGGAAGAGCGTAGTCAATGTCACTGAACTGTGCATGTAGAAATTTTTGAAATGGTGTATCTTTGGCTATGTGTATTTTCACCAAAAAAAAACGGTTGAGAAGTTAGAGGGTTAATATGTTGTGGGGTTGTTAACCAATGTCATAAAACAACATGTGTACTTCTGTTTCATGAGAAACTATTTGTTCTGTAAGCCTTCACCTGAAGTACAATAAAATATTAAAAAAAAAAAAAAAAAAAGATGATGCCTCAGAAGGCAATGGGAAACACCCCAGGCTCCATGTAAACAGGAAAATAACTCCTTCTAGATGCATAAGCCACTTCCTTCATCATCATTTTACTGAGTTCATAAGCAAAGTTCTGGGCTAGGTACCAGCCATACAACCAGGGCTTCAAACCGCTTCAGACAAGTTCCCAGGAAGTTATTATGCACGATTTCTTGTTAAAATGCAGATTCTGATTCAGTATATCTGGGGTGGAAATGCAACTACTCAGCAGGAAGCTTGTTAGAAATGCAAATTCTTGGCAGAGGTTCGAACTGAAATGACTGGTTCAAAGCCCTGGAAACAATACTTCTCTTCCTTCAAGGTTGCTGAAACCATCTCAGCTGTGAAGTCCAATCTCCCCACAAAATTATGTACTTTCTCATCTGTGAACTTTATTGTATGTCACATTGCTTTGGGATTCTTTATTTTGAGAGTCAGGTCATACAGTGGTTAGAAGGAAGAGCTCTGTAGTCAGACATACCAGGATTGGAGACCAAGCTCCAGCACTCAGAAGCCTTGTGACTCTGGGAAAGTTGTCTAACCTCTCTGTGCCTCGGTTCCTTCATCTACGAAATGGGACCTACCACACAGAGTTGTCGTGAGAATTAAATAAGAAAAGTGTGTAGTACAAGGGCTTGTCACACAATAATCTGCGTGTTGGCTATTATTAGTCGAATGAATGAATTATTTGTTGAGTGAATGAATGATTGATTGAATACATTTATATACCAAACTAGACAGAGAGCAAGTTCAGGGGATTGTCCAATTCATCTTTGGGTTTGTAGCACCTAGCACAGTACTTGGCACGTAGTAAGTGCTCAATAAATGTTCAGTGAATGAATAATTCAATGAACGAATGAAAATATGGTCCTACCCCCAAGGAGCCTTATATAACATGAAGACTGTTAAGGTTCTTTTGGCTGCAAATACAGAAGCTAATGCTGTATTAGAAAATGTAATCAAGAAGTGGAAATTTATTGAAACTCTCCTCAACAACAGGAAATAGGTCAAACCTCAACAGTAAGAAATTATAGACTTTCCTTCTAGCACCAAACCACTTCTGAGGTTTACCTCTCAGCAAGCTACGGTTTTCACATCCTCCAGATCAAACTTGTAAATTCCAAGGAAAGAGAACTCTAATTGTTCCAGCTTAGGTAGGATGGCTAACACTACTAGGTCAATTAACAATGACCAGAAGCACAAAGTCAACCTGCTGGAGGTGAGGAATCATTGCAGGGAGGGAAGAACAGTCCTATCAGTGTCCTCTACAGGGAGATAGGGCCTGGGACTAAAAGGGCAAGTGACTATAGCTTGGGAGGAGTGTTAAAGGAGGAGGCTTAAAGTTTAGCACTTTTTAAAGGTGTAGGCA